TGTGTGTGTGTGTGTGTGTGTGTGTGGCCAGCTCAGCCCACCATGGGGCGGGGCTGGCTGGTATGTGGTGCTGGGGGATTGAACCACGGTCCCTGTGCTTTGCTAAGCTTGTTCTAAGTAGGTGCTTTAGACCACTGAGCCATCTCACCAGCCCCCATGTAATGCTTATTAATAATACAGATTTCTGGGCTTTACCTCAGACCTCCTCAAATGGAATCTCAGGGAAACTGAGCCTAGCACTTGCATTTCTAACAAGTTTCCAAGAAGAGCAGCCAGTATAAAATCAGGAGACCCTACAGGTCTCCTTACCCTCAGGATTATCCCTTTCCATTCTACCCTCCAGCCTGCTGCCAGCATATCTGATTTCATCACTTATTGCTTAAAATTCATCCAATTTTTAGAATTTTGCCTGCTTACAGAATGAAAACCCAACTGTTTGGCATGGCAACTAGTGCTTTCTTTCCTTGTCTGCTCAGTATACATGTCTATCTTCTTTTAGCATGCCCTAAACTCTAACCTCCTAAGTAGCTACCTGGCTCAGGGCCTAGCATATGAGCTTATGTGTAGTAGATATGCATGAAGGTATGCTAAAGAATGAATGACTGATTCATGCACTCTTCAAGATCTAGACCAGATACAGGCTGAGATAAAGAATCTGTCGAGATATGCATTCACCACTACCTTAGACAGCAATTTCAAGATGTTCTTTGAAGTAAGGTACTCCAAGGAATACCTGATGCCCAACATTCACTTGGACAGGGCAGTTTCAAGTTCATGTCAAAAGACAACCACCAAGTAAATGCCATAAAATCATTATTTAATACTAGTCTGCCTTATAATTTTTCAGGGGACTTTCACATGATTAACCCTAAGGCTTTCTCTTTTTGTTATTTTTGTTTCTCAGTACAAGGATACAAAACCAGTTCCTTGTGCATGAGTGTAAGTACTCTACCACTAAGCTACACCCCCAGCCTTTTTTTCCTTTTTTGAAATAGGGTCTTGGAAAGTTTCCCAGGATGTCCCTGACTTTGTCATCTTCCTACTTTGGCCTAGTTCTTTCTTTTTTAAAAAGTTTTATTCTGGTGATGCCACACATGCCAGCCAAGTACCCTACCACCGAGCTACATAGTCCTACCCCCTCACTTATTATTATGTGTTAAATGTAAGGATAACATAAATACTGCATATCACTTCACCTCAGTAAGTGCGGATAATACCGGAAAGGTCAAAGACAAGAACTAGGGATGTGGAAAACAGTGGGGATGTAAATTAATACAGCCATTCTAAAAAAACATACTGAGTTTATGAATACTAAGGCTCCTGAAAAAAATTTAAAATGGAGTTAACATATGATCCAGCAATCCCAGTGGATATAAAATCAGGGTGATGAAATGACAGTGGAGGGCTGGTGAGATGGCTCAGTGGTCTAAAGCACCTACTTAGAACAAGCTAAGCGAAAGCACAGGGACCATGGTTCAATCCCCCAGCACCACATGCCAGCCAGCCCCACCCCCTGGTGGGCTGAGCTGGCCACACATACACAAAATAACTAAATAAATAAATAAAACAAAACAAAACAAAAATTTAAAAAAAAAGGAAATGACAGTGGAATTCCTATGTTCACTGGGGCACGATTTATAACAGCCAAGAAAGGGGAACAATCTAAGTGTCTCTCAGCTGAAGAAATTTAAAAAAAATTTTTTATTAATTTTATTGAGAAACAAATAGCAATGAGACAGTTTCAAAACTTATTAATAGGACACTTTCAATAATTAATACATTGCATATTGTTGTCTTCCTAGTATTCACAGTACAAGATACAGACATGATATCATGTCCAAACACTATTAGTACAAATCTTTCTTCTCACTGAATTAAGTGAAAGTAGCTGTATATCTATCCTATTTTGTATATACAGATATAAAATGGGCCTTCATTTGTATCCCCTTTTTTTGTTTAGTTTTGTCAGAGATGGGTATTCCATTGCCACTTAAATATTGTAGGTGTGTGAATTCAGCAAAATAAGAGATTATTGGGCTATCCCCCTGTGGCGCGAGCCCGGGGCGGCTCTGAGCGCCCCTCAGCAGACCCCCATCATGGGCAGCCAGAGCTCCAAGGCTCCCCGGGGCGACGTGACCGCCGAGGAAGCAGCGGGCGCTTCCCCTGCAAAGGCCAACGGACAGGAGAATGGCCACGTGAAAAGCAATGGAGACTTGTCCCCCAAGGTTGAAGGAGAGTCGCCCCCCGTGAACGGAACAGATCAGGCAGCTGGGGCCACAGGCGATG